ACCAATGCCTTTTCACTGACTTTACTTTATTTATTCTTATATATAAGGTTAATTAGTTATATACTCTACTATATATATTTAATTAATAGAGGCTAGTTATAACTTCAGGTTAATTTAACCTTTATTAACTAACTTATATAAAAGTTAACCTAATTCCTTTAACTTTCTGCAAAACCCTGCCTTTACCTTATATTTATCTTAAAACTTTATATATAAATTCCCTTTATTAATTTAGGAGTAGCTCCCCCTTAATAATAATAACCCTTTTAGATATATTAAAGAGCTACTCTTTATATATAATTAAACCTATAAAGGCAGTAAGAAAAACTACCTAATCTAACTAAAGATAATAACCTTCCCTTAGGCCCCTTTTTAGGTCCTTAAGACCTAATAGCTTAAAATTAACCTAGTTTAGATTAATTAAACTAATATAATACCTCTAATTTATATAATTAATTAGCTAGATTAGGCTATAATTAAAAATAGCTATTTTAATAAGGTTAAATCTATATCTTAATAAGAAGTTCTTCCTAATAGCAGCTATTATTATATAAATCTCTTTAAGTTCTTCTTTACTAGCTATATCTAGGGCAAGCCTAATAGCTAGATTAAGGTTATAGCTAGTTATATAATAGGTATAATTATATAACTATAGGCTATTTTATATAATAGGTATTAAGGCAGTATAGCTATTATATTATTAGTAAAAAGGGTTAAAAGCCAGGTTAGAAAACTTACTTATAAGTTTGTACTTAATTATTTACTTAGTTAGGGCCTAACTGACCTTTAAGTGGAAGTATAATAAATAGACTAGGCGTGGTATTATCTTAGTCCTTTAGGTAGGATAAAGGAAGAAGGGTAACCTAGCTGCTAAGAGACCTGCAGCTAGTATTAATACTGCCTAGTTAAGGCAGTAATTATGCCATTAAGGCAGATAAACCTTATATAATTTTGAATTCTATAATAATAGCCTACTATAGGGGTCTTACTATTTAAGCCTTTATAAAAAAGTTAAAAAGCTTAATGGCCTTATATAAGGCTAATAATAAGAGGAAAAAAAGAAAAAAAGATAATTAGTTAATTATTAGTTAGGTAATAATAATAAATTAATTATATATTACTTTTTTTTCTTAAAATTACCTTATAAAGGAATTTTCTTTTCCCTAAGCTTTAATTAATATAATATTATTAAGGCTACCTAGCTTTCTTATTATAGAATTATTATAATAAAGAAATTAAAAAAAAAAGATATTTCTTATTTTAATTAAATTAAGGCTAGTATATTAAGTAATAAAGCTTTTAAAATTAAAAGGTTAAAAAACTTACTTTTAAATACTTTTAAAAGTATTATTATTTATAAGTTAATAGCTATAAATTATTATTTAAAAAAGGAAAAATAATTATTATATTAGCCTTATTTCTTATCTTATTTTATTATCTTATTTTATTATTTTATTTTATTATTTTATTTTAATATCTTTAGCTTTACTTTATATATTATTAAATAAGTATTTTAACTTTTAAATAAATTATTATTATTTTTTAAAATTATCTTATAATAATGTTTTTTCCTCCCTAAGCTTTAATTAATATAATATTATTAAACCTACCTAGCTTTCCTATTTTAAAATTATTATAATACTTTTAAATAATATATTTTTAATATATTTACCTAGCTTCTTAATTATTATAATATTAATCTTATATAATAGCTAGGTTATTATTATAAATATATATTATTAACTAAGTATTTTAACTTTTAAATAAATTAATAATTAATATATTATATAGTTATTACCTTATAAGCTAAAAAGCTAAGTATTAGGCTATCTTACAGGGGTATATTAGGTATACTTTTTACATAGAAGTCTCTGTTTTTTAATCGCTTCCTTGTTTATAGCCGTTAACCGGGGATGCGGATGTCAGATGTTAGTGGAGTACCAGCGTCCAAGCTTTCATTTTCAGAGAGCTCCTCCTGTCCGGCGAATTCCCTGCCAAGATCTGTCGTCCAGCTTTTTGTCACTCCACTATTCCAGTGGATGATATGAATCGCCATCTCATAATAAACTCACAATCATCGCCGCCAAACAAGGCTCACTCCAAGGTACTAGTTATCGCTCACAGTGGAGTCAGATGGGAATATGAAGCGAAGTCATTACGCCTGTGACCAATGCCGAAGGTCAAAACGAGCTTGCGATGCACCACCTCTTCTTGGCCCTGGATCTTCAAGATGCAGCAGTTCCATAACAGTTGGAGAGCGGCTCGGTAAGTCAACCGGCGCGACTGAGCCGCTCCCTTGACCCTCTGATGACCAAGGCTAATGGTAGTTAATTGAGGTAGCCTCTGGAACTGGCCATGAGCCTTGTTCCTATTGCACAAAGACGAGGAAAACGTGTACTATGAATTGGGCTTGGTCGCAAATACAAGCAGCGACTTCATTAGATGCTTCAGGCCAGGGACCGAATGTTCCGGTCAAGAGACAAAGAAGTGAAGCGACTCATGCACCACACCAAGCAACACCAGCTTTTGAGAAACAAGATCCGATATCTGCGGCTTTACGCGTCAATGGCTCATCACGGCCACTGTCTCATGATCCAGATCGACTCACTCAAGGCCCGCGTTTACCCAACCTCCAGAGAGCAGCTCAACCGCCCACGCCAAGCTCAATCAGTGGCACAGCATTTCAGACACCTCTCACTCATAATAATACGCCAGCTCTCAATAATTACAATTACATAACTGGCCAGTTCTCTTCTGGTTATCCGCAATCTACCTACTCACAACCGAATGACTCACGTCTCTCAATCCAGTCACAGCTCAATGCTTGGCCATCTACTCCCCCATCAAACTCATCAAGATCTTACAGTCATCTGTCTACGCCGTCGGTTGGAGAGGACACAGCCAGTGAAGATGATACAATGAGGTTCAAGCGTCGGCGCACATCGCCAATCTGGACTGACCGTCGCATGAACTCATTATCGCCATTCTCAGTTGACCAGACGATGATGACGAGAACCAACAACCAATTCATTTCCACAAATCTCCTACAAATCTACCATGACGTTCTGGAACACAATCTTTCATGTTGGCTCACGGAAGTCACATGCCCCTACAGAGCTCCAGGTTATATCACATCGGGGAGCTATGCCCCTACGGAATGGGGATCCTCGTGGTCAAACCGTATATATCGCCGCACCATCAACCTCGACCACGCAATTCAGACAGCCAAGCTCACTCGGCTAACGCGGGCCGAAGACCAAGGTGCTGCTAAGGCATTCCATCTTGCTATAATGGCATTTGCGACGCAATGGGCTCAAGGTAGTCGCCGTCAACAACAGCGCTATTCTGATGAGGATGAAAAGCCAGAGGATATTCTCAACGACATCAATGAGGAGTTTGATCGAAACATTCAACGAAATATCTGGGAGCAAGCAAAAAGAGCCCTGCAGGAAGTTTCAGACGTTGAATCATATCGTGTGGCGACGGCGGAGTTGATATTTGGTCTCACGCAAAAGCCGTGGACTCGTGATGACGAGTCGACGGCTCCAAAGAACCCAAACACGTTGATCAGTGCTTCTCCAAAAGTTGACTTGAAGGCTTTGAACGCTGAGCTGGGAGAAATCATATCGCGAGATGGCCTTCCCGTCTTTATGGAGAGAGCCGCACGAAAGATGCATGCTCTCAAGTTCCGCTTCGATTCAGGCCGCCGTGGTGTCACTGGACCTCTCACTAGTCCGAAGAACAACGACTTGTTGTCCATGATGAACCCTGAAGATCGTGGCACTGTTGGGCTGCTATACTGGCTTGCCGTTATGCTCGATACTGTCTCATCCTCCATGAGCGAGCGTCCGGTTGTTGTTGCTGATGCAGATAGTCAGCATGACGATGCAGATGAAGATCTTGACTCAACGACAAACGGACGGTGGAATGTACCTTTGTTCATTCAAGACAGTTTGGAGCAGCCTCACATGTATCATGCAGTGCACTGGCCTTGCTCTTATGAGTCTGCGGCTGAAGCCGTCACCAAATCAGCACCAGTCAAGGTCCTTCTATTCCGGCATGTCTCTTATCTGCAAAACATTCTAAGAAGAGGTGGTCGTGGTGAGAAGGTTGAAGAAACAATCAAAAACACAACCTCGCTCTATCGATATTGGAATATGACACATGGTGCGTTCTTCAAAGAGTTACTTCACGACTATGAATCAGTGCCAGCCCGTCTTCAGAGCTGGTTTGTCTGTATTTCTGCTCATTGGAACCTCGGTGCTCTCATGCTCGCCGATCTTATCGAGTATGTCGATGAGAACGAGCTAGGAGAAGCAACAGCGTCTCAAAGCAGATTAGCCAGCAAGATGGTCACAAGAATACGTGAAGCGAGCGCAAGAGAACTATCCGATCTAGCAAAAGTATCAACGCCAAGTCACAACCTAACAAACATGACGGCACCTCAGATGACACATTTCCATCATGCAGTAAACGAAGCAACTATTCTTACAGAGCCATGGACTATCATCCTCATCAGGGCATTTGCCAAGGCGGCTATGATATTAATACACGAAGCGAATGATTTCTTGGAGTTCGGGCTGACTACACCAGCCAACACTGGTCATGATTTTCAGGAGAGTATGCGTCGTGCACAAGATTGTGTAAAGGGCTTGTGGATATTAGGCAAGAAATCTGATATGGCGAGGAGGTCGGCAGATACCCTGGTTACCGCGATGAAGAAATTGAAAGTATAATGATGTTGTGTGGACCTATCTGACATTCCAGAACTTAAGTAAGATATTAGATGATATTTGTTAAGACTTGTCATTTCCGTATTGGCCCCTGAGACTCTGAGTTGATGGACAGATATTATCCTTAGGTTCAGCTTCCTTTCTTGTAATTGGTACGAGAGACTAGCAATATATGCTCCCACTGAATTGCCGTACCTGGCATACAGAGCAACTCGCATTGAGAGTAACGTTGTGCCATTCACATCCACAATTACAGCACTGCCACTGGCTTACTCCGCCTCTTTGTCGTCCTGGGTTACTGCTGCTGCCTGCAAAGCTTTCCCATTCCGATTGAGTGTGCCCTCCCGAGCGAGCCCTCTTTCCTATTGAAAAGTAGTCGGATGTTCTTATGGATGTACCAGATTGTTCGTCGGGCCCCGAAGTGGAACTTGCTACGCTCTCTTTCTGGTCTTCATTCAGTGAAGCGAGGTCCTCATTATTGAGGGTTCCAACTTCTTGTGTTGTAGGGTCCAACCCATCCATTCCGGTTTCTCTGCTGGGCTGCAACAGCGTTTCTTCTGTCATGGTGAGGCCGGGGGAATAGCAAAGAGTGCAAGCTGCTTCTGATGCTTGCTGATGTGGCTTTGGTATAATTCCATGCTCCTTAGGCGTTACTTACACAGTGGGCATGCTGTCTTTTCAGGGATCTCAGTCTTGTTGACGGTACTAAACTGGACGAGATCCTCGATTTCAGAAGGCTCCTTCTCGCCCCCGTGTGTTTGGCAATGTTCTCTGCATTTAGATATTGAAGTGGTCTTCAGGCTACATCCAAAAGGACAAACAAAGACTGTCCAATGTTCCTGGAGAACGTGGTTCATCCAATCCCTCCGGCGAGCATAGCGATGATGAGGCATGGAACAATTGTGTTCCAAGCAAAGGTATGGCTGCAGGTCCCTATACACATGCTCTCTTGAAACAGTCAGCTCATATCTATGCGATTTATCAAATGTCGCTTACTTCCAGGTTTTGGTAGACAATCCCCTCATCATCTTGTTGCAGAAAGGGCATCGAAATGGACCCCCATCCGCGGCTTTCTGTGGCAAGGGGGGAATTTGGTGAGCTCGCAAATCTTCCGAGGCTATATACGAGGTTTGGGAGGAGTTCTCGTCATAGATCTCCTCTTGTTCGCTTCCCTGGTAGTTCAAGTCTTCGAGATCAAGCTCGTTGAAGAGGGTCTCCAGTGTTGGCTCATCTGCTGGTGGGCCTCTTGAGGGGTAGGAGCTCAGCTCTGTCGAATCTTGGCCCTGGAATAGCTTTCGCCTAGCCGAGATGTCCTTCCCAAGACGCTCTGCTATAACCTCGTCGACCCCAGGGTACTTCGAGCGAACGTGCTGAACATCGAAGGGCTCATAAGGTGATGTTTCATCCGTGATTCTGCCATCAGCCAATGGTTCTCTCAATGCCGCACCAAGATACGAGAGATTGCCAATAGCATTGGCTATATGAGCCAGAACCTGCTCCATCTCTGTTTCTGGAGAACTGTCTAGTGATTCCCTCTCATCTTCTGATTGTGAATCCTCCTCGTCGTTTATCTGATCCCAGGGTACCTGATCCCCAACTGTGATTGCGTGAGCATCTTCAAGTAATCTCTGAATGTGGCTCAGAAGCCGGATGGCTTGGATCTTGACACGTGTGTTGTTCTGTAATTTCTGATCAAGTGTGTGCGCTCCAGCATTTCTCTTCCATCGAGTGAATCGGCTCTGTCCGTTCTTTAATCGGGCAAGTTCATCAGATTTTACAATATTAGCGACAGCCGGGTTTTTCAGTTGTAGATTCAGGACTTCAAACCCTCTAGTGCAGTCTTTTGCGAGTTGATCGATACTGTTGGACATTTTAGGGAAGTATCACCATGGAAACATTCGTGTTGTAGAGACATGAGTCCATGCTGAGAAGTGAAGGGACTTAAGCTTCGGTGCTCCTGCACTGCCAATGTACAAACATACCACCTCGCAATATGCATGCACCAATATTGTTCTTGCACTTTCAACCCCTCATTTATACCCAACTCATTCATACCCAAGCAACCATATATGACCTCTCGGCTGAATATCAAAGTTTCGTCAAGATATACTCTCAACGCCTGGATCAAGGTCTTTTGGTGCCTTTAGAGCAATGTCTGGTCTTGAAATTGCAGGCCTTATTCTGGGGGCGATACTAGTCGCGATTGAAACACTCAAAATAGGGAGCCAAGGGATAGCGGTACTCCGACGAAGCCGCAGATACGATTATGAACTGGAGAGGTTGATCAACAAGCTCGAAAATGAACGGATGAGGCTTGAAGATGTGTGTGAGAAAGTTCTCGTCGATCTTGTGCCTCACTCGCGAATAGAGGACTTGATCCAACACCCCGGTCGCCTCTTCGATGATGACCCAGAACTCAAAGCCAAACTTCGAAGACGTTTGTGGAAAGGCTATGATCTCTTCGATCAAACATTGAGAGAGATCAATGCTACCATGGACGAGGCTATAAACAGTATAAGTATCCAGATCCGAGATGAATCGAACGTTAGACGATCACTCAGGCACTCGTTCCTCGACGGCTTACTATCTCGGATCAATGAGGGAGTTTCGGTCCTCGAACAGCTTGTGAATAGGAGCATACAGCTCGAGCCAGCCAGGAAGATACGCTTCCAAGGCAAATTCCTGTGCTACATGCGAGGCATAGCATCTGAGCTCTTTGCAGCCTTACAAGCAGGATTTGGCCGTCCATGCGAGCATCACCTTGGTTTACAGTTGGAGAAACGGACATCAGATATTGTTCCAGATGATATAAAGCATGACAGTCTCATCAGAGGCGCCGAATTTCGTCTCTCTCTCTCGTATAAAGAACCCGGTGCGAGCCCTGCCGCTCCATCCAGCCATGATACAAAATGGTCGGATGTATTGGTCAAACCAACGCCTGCAGCGCGCTCGTACGCCACGGCACAAACCTTACGTTCGAAATTCGAAAAGCGCTTGCAACCATCAGGATCGATTAGGCATTCGCCACTCAAGGGAGGCCCTTTTTCAACACCCACTGACTCAACTCAGCCTCCAGACACCTCACAAGAAATCGAGATGGCAGCACGCGAGGAACATGTGCAAGCGACCAAGATCTTAGACCTTTGCGAAAATATAAGACAGCCCTTTGTACGAGCATCAGAAAATTGCTTTGGGCTTATATTCAGCACGTCACTTCCCAAAAAAAACACGCATATGATGTGTACCCGATCGTTGCGAGCAAATACAGAGAACGGTCCGACAGAATCATGACGTCTTTGAATGAAGTCCTTGGACAAAATCAACGACACATGATCTTATCAGAACAAGACAGACTGAAGCTGGCCGTCCTTGTTACTTCTAGTCTTCTTCAGCTTTATGGGAGTTCATGGATGCCGAAAGTCATTCGCAGCCAAGACATTTACTTGATCCAAGGACCAGATGACCCCATCTGCGATCGTTTCTTTGTCTTGCAGAGCTTGCCGCAGGTGAAGGAAATCGTGAAAGAAGAGCATCAAGAGTTAACTTCGATGAGGAGCCAAACGTTATCTTATTGGGGTGTTCTTCTGATAAAGCTTGCTTTCGGGAAACCAATTGAACTCCTTCGAAGCGAGCGAGACAAGTCAAGTATCGGCTCTCAATTCTTTACAGACTATAGAACTGCAAAGCGATTGGTAGACCAAGTCACTAGTTTTGTTGGGCCAAGTCATGGGAGTGCAGTCTCACGATGTATTGATGGCGAGTTTCACAGCAGCGAAGTTGGGCTAGGGGACACCAACCTGTCTCATGATGTTTACACTGGAGTCGTGATGCTTTTGGAGAAGAGCATTGGAGAGTCGCTTGTGTAATTCAGCACAGAATTGAACCAAAACAGAAAGAAGCAACATTATGTGCATCAATTTGCTCTTATCAATTGCTATGCCTGACACCTATCTCATCGATATTTACACCAGGCCACTGCAGGGTAGTTCAGCATGTGTGAGAGATGAGTGTGACAAACTCGATACTTGACAAAAAACAAGGCAAATGCCATCAAATGCATAAAAGGGTTATGAATGACGAATCAAGACTGAGTCAGTCTCTGGTTGAGCTGAGAAAGTGAGCAATGTCTCGAGTTTCTTTGACTGATCGACCAGGATCAAACCCCCTTGACCCATATTTACTTTTTCCTACAGACAGCATCGATCAAGGTCAACAACACATCCTTGTGGTAAATCTCGCACGAGTCTCAGATCCTGCACTCGTTGAATCAATTACTCACTTCAACTGACACGATACATCTCACTTTTTTGCTTCTACAGGCATTCTACAGGGGTTGTCCTCGGCCGAACACTCGGTCTGTCTCGTCAACTCACCTCTCTCTGTCTGTGTGCAGATCTCTCGCCCTTGTTCACCTCCTCATCTGCCTAGTACGAGCATATCATGAAATCCGTATCCACGGTACTGGCTGAGTGATAGCTGAGACACGGGCTAAGTATCATAATGACAAGTGATCAAGGGGGTATATCCCGACATTCAGGTCGTCAACTGAGACTTCTCTGTGGATCCCTCCCTTTTGCCGACGAGGACTATCTAGCCTCATGTTTCTTCTACTCTGAGTGAAAAAGAAACCACATACAGGCGTGAGAGTACGACTGTTTCGGGCCAAGATAAAAGTAAAGGCTTGGAAAGAGTTGAGGCGAGGTTTGAGAAAAGAAGCCACTCAACCCTTTTGGCGCGGGTCCATCCACTGCTAAGCCTTGCTAATACCCTCTCAGGCATGCTCATGCCCATGTCAAGCTGAAGTTGAAGACTATCCCCAAGACTAGGGATCTTTTGACGCTGATGACAAGTTGACATGCCGATACTCACGACATCCAAAAGCAAAGAGGCATCCCAACGATCAGCTATCACATATCGTCCTCATCACGGGATGAGATAGTTCTCTGATCGACGATCAAATGACGATTAACCCATGACAACTTGAAGATTCCTGTGAAACTTGGTCACTGACATAGTCACTGCAGGGATAGTCATGAGCCTTGTAGACTCCTACATCGCTCAAGTTGCTGGCAGACACATGCAAGTTCTCTCCACGGAAGAACAGCGTCCCATCCCTCGCTCCTCTCATGTTTCCAGAAAGACAGCATTGAAACAGAGACAAGATCTTCCCATTCCTAAACGCCAGTTCATCAAGCTCTGGCGCGTGGCAAACAGAGGCCGAAAAGCGACGGGTCTCGGAATGCCTCCCCAACTGTCTTCAGATCCCCTTTACTGACAATCTCAGCACAGTATTGCCCGATAATCACTTTCACATAGTTTCTTCTCAAACTGTAAGCTTGGCATGAGCACAGTAGATGCAGTTATTCTGGCGGGATCAAGGTCCGTCGCCGAACATCAAGCTCTTGTCTCACTCCACTGACCACTGACGACCTGGGGGAGCTTCCGATAGGGCGAGCCAGTGAGCGACAAGGGAAAGGGATGCAAGTAATATATAGGTCATATAATTCCACCACCATTGCTACAGAAGGGAACAAGTGACAGCTATTCGTTGGTATGCAGGAGCTCAAGCAACCCGATATTGCTCCGCCAGAACCATGATGACGAAGACTTAGCTAGTGATGCCAGACAAAAAGCATCTACTGAAACTAGACTTCGGGTCAACAAGTTACCGTCGTAGAAAGGCTTCAACCCTTGTTGCTTTTTCCTCCGTCCCAAAAGCAAAGTAATACAAGCTCCTCTCAAATGCGTCATCGCGACATGAATCATCAGCTGCAGACCATTAGCTTCAGTCCACGATATGAGACAAAGGATGTCAACAAACCTCGGCATATAGCTTCCTTAGCCAATTGAACGGCAACACCACCACGAGCTCCAACCTGCGCGGCAGCATCGATAGTCTTGTCCAATACTTGCCCATCCTTAAACATGTCGCAGACCAGCCCACAAGACAAAGCTTCTTCACTCGAGATCGGCGTTCCAAGCAAGATGGCTTTCATGGCCTGGTTTAAGTTAGTGAACAAAGTCAGTCTCGGCGCCTCATCTCGAGCACGTGTATCATGAAGCTTACTCTGAACTTGCCCAAGGCAGACGTGAGCCGTTGAGTGCCTCCCGCTCCGGGGATGAGACCGAGATTCACCTCGGGGAGCACAAACTTTGCACGTGGCGATGCATAGATCAAGTCACACTGGTGCATGTTAGTTACTGGCTATTGGCCGTTGTGTGGTAGTCTCACCATCATGGCAAGCTCAAAACCACCTCCAAGCTATCACGAGTTGTTAGTTACCAGCTTTACCGCAAAGTCTGGAAGAGATCATACTGCGGGCCCATCTACTGCTGCTAGAATAGGCTTTCTCACAGCAGCCATGCCATGGCACAGATCTTCCAGGTAACGACAAGATCTTGCTGCTTCTGCATCCATCGTTGATATCTCCTTGATATCGGCACCAGCTGTCAAGCAGATCAACAAACTGCCAAGAAAACGTGGTTCGGAACTTAACTCACCCGAGAAGCAAGAACCGCGTCCAGTTACGACAATGACTTTGGTGTTTGAGTCAGCCGAGACTCGAGATAGAGCTCCAAGTAACTCGGTGATCATGGCTTTTGAGAGTGCATTGCGCTTCTCTGAGCGGTTGAGTGTGATCACTGACACCCCAGGTGCGTGCGTGGGAGAGTCAACAATGATGAGACTGGCATCTGACATGATGAATAATGACGTTGGAAGAAGAGATGATTAAACGAAGAGTAGAGCTGTGAACTGGTTGATGGTGTCAGGAAGTGACAGGCAGGTCTTCAACCCTGATTAGTTGAGTATCTTTGATGCCAAAAGGACGCGCCATCAACTCACCAAGTTGAGTCGAGTTGACAGCACAATCATCAAAGACACTCTTGGCACCACCAAAAAGCCACAGGCTATGTACATCTTCACGGCATCTTCACACACCCCGAATTGCAGGGCGGGAATGGATCTCCAAGACATGTCCGTCATAATCGATAGCCCTGGACAAGGGTCCACTGCCACTTAAGATTGACTGACAGGTTCCGGTTTCCAGGGTGTGATCGAGTACCCGACTAAGATCCAGCCCATCGGATTCAGGCAAGGTAGTATTGAAGGAATACCCCAGAAGCCGGTTCCTCAATGTGGAAAGCGGTTTATCGGTACCTGAATTGCGGACCCTTGTCCGGATCCCCCTTGGCGTGCACATGTCTCATCGCCCGTCACATTCCTCTCTTGACCGGGCTGCCCCGTCCCACATTCTTCCGTACCCCGGGGCCGGCTCCGTATAACTAAGACCCCCGGGCGGGTGTGAGAGGAATGCAGAAGCAATTATGACAATCTGGGTCCGCCGTCCCCTCCGGGGCGTGAGTTCGAACCCAAGTTGCTGTGGAAATCAGGGCAACCTCCATATCTCGCGACGACGTCAACCCCCAATGGGGACATGTCAAGGGACGATTGATTGATCAAAGACCGATAATGATGAGTATGGACATCTCAGAAGACAAAGATGAAACATTCTTTCCAGGGCGGGTGCCACCTTTGCCACGCCGTTGAAAATATATAAGCCCGTCCGTTGTTATCTCAGGGTCAACTCAACGGTCAACAGACATCAACAATCCCCATTGTCTCTTCCTCACCTTAATTCACTCTTTAAGGAGCCTTCTTCACAATGGCCGTCGTCAGCCCGCTGCAGGGACATTCCCTGCACGAGTCTGCTCTTCAACTTGGCCAAGGGGACTGTGTCGAGCCTCCATTCCCAACAGTCACTTCGGCATTCTACCACCATGCAAGAACTTCCCCAGACACCATAGCTCTTCGTGATCTCCCAGGATCACCAAAGGAGCTGACGTATGGACAGCTTTCAAGACGAGCTCAAGAGTTGGCTGCACAGCTCATTGCTCAAGGTGTCTGTCCTGACTCGCGGGTCCCCCTTGTTGCTAAAAGGGGACTGGACATGATCATTGGTATCTGGGCAATCCTTTCATGCGGAGCTCAATATGTTCCTCTCGATGGAGGTGTCGTTCCCGATGAAACCATTCGTCGAGTCCTTGAGCAGGCTGGCGGTGGCGTCGTCCTTTGTCTGTCTTCAACAAAGCACCGCATCATCTCCCAACATCCCAACCAGACTGTGGTTGTTATTGACG